AAAAAAAAAAAAAAATAAATAAATAAAATAAAATAAAAAACAATTGACACATATCATTATAAAACACTAGAAATTAACAAAAATCCTTACGAAGCACAACATGTAAATTAACATACAAAATTATAAAGCAGTAAACATATGACACTTCGGAAAATCAACATCTAATACCATGTTCTGTTCTACATTCAGGCCTGGGCTCGAGCTCGACTCGACTTCAGTCAAACTCGAGCTTGAGTCGAGCTTTGACTCGAGCGCTCGCCGCTCGACTCATTTTCAGCCCTAACCTGCAACACTCCCAAAAAGAACAGCTGAAACGATGTTTTCATTATATACACACCTAAGCAGTCTGCAACACTTTTACTCACTAAAGGATTTTTACATTCAGGCCTGTTACAGTTGAACCATCATATCACAAATTATCATTTTATTTTTACTTTTTTTGTCCAAAAAGATGGGACAGTGAAAAAATAAAATAAAATGGGGAAATCAAGTGCCGCTCATTCCCATCACACGAGGAGGCGTGGGTCGAGCCAAACCAGTCAAGGCCGCGTTAATCCTACTGAAAACTACCTTCAACGGGACACAAGCTATGGATGGGCCCTTGAGCTTTTCCAAAACGGGCTTGTTCTCGCGCTGGCTCTGCTTGTTGCAGCCCGTCAAAGAGGACAGCTTCCTAATTTTCTTGGACGAAAGCCCATTTTTGGGCCCGTTTCTCTTCAGTTTCGACTTAGACCTGCTCTTGCCGCGTGGCCTCCGGAATTCAGACAGGTCCAGCTCAGAGCTGCTGCTGATGTGGTATTTGGGCTTCGAGCTGAGCAACAAAACATCGCAAAGCCCATCTTCCAAGGCCTCGACCGAAATAGGGTGGCCCGTCACAGGCCGCCCGTTGAGCCTGCTCATGAGCGAGATGTACGGGACGCGTTGGGCCCGGGCGCAGCCCGTCCGAACCTCCACATTCACATCATACAAATCAGGCCCGTCGTAAAAGTCAGACGAGTCATTCTTCAGGTTGCTGACCGGCAAACCGGGCCTCTGTGGGGCCCACAAGTGAGATTTCGGGCCCCCGGAGTCCCAGCTCCAGTTGCGGAACTCGTTGGCCCAGATTTGTCGGAGGGTGTCTCGAGTGGGGCCCACCAAAGGTACTACTAACTCGGGCTGGCCGGAGTCGGGTTCGGTTCTCCTTGGCCGGGAGTTGCGTTTTCCCTTCGACTGCCAGTGGGAGGCTTTTTCTGCAGTAGGGATATGATTATGAAAGCTCACACAAAGCAGAAATCAAGGACAATGCCACATGATGATAATCGAATTTACATAAATAACACGGATTATCATCATCATAATCATATGTTTTTTTCGCAAGTGAGGCCACAACTGATGAACTAGAGGTACGAGAAGCCAAATGCAATGAAAAAACCCAAAGGCATATCAACAACCGACAGAGTGTAAAGACCTCAAACAGTCTGGAAGGTGATATTTTTAATAGAACAATCCCATTGATGTGGCAAAAAAGGATTCAATGACGTGAGAAGAAGTATGTATGTAATTTCTAAAAACCACAAGGGTAAAAACATGGGTCGATTACAAAAACTAGCTCTTTTTGCACACTTACAAGTTACAACAATCTTTGGTTGAATTTTGAATTACACAAAAACCCTTAGAATTGTATTGTTTAACCAATAATGAGTCTGCAATTTGTTAGAAGTAAACAGATATGAAGAGAGTGTATTTCAACTGTGGAATACAACATCCCTTCTCTTCATTGTAATTAGTTTTAAAAAAAGAAAAAAAAAACATGAAATTTCGCGAAAACTTCATGATATCATGTCTATGCCTCCATGAACTAGAGATTCCTTCGAACCTCCCATAACTACAAGGCATGTCAACACACAAACTTAGCCTCAAATCCACACAAGACCAAACAATACCAAAAATCGCCGGGATAAAAACATACCTTCCGATTGCTGCTTTTCTTCAGTAACAAGTGGTACATCGAACAACCTCCCGCAGGACCCGTCCTCACAAACTACTCCGACCACACTCGAAATCTCATTCTCCTTCGTCTTAGAATCATCTCCATTATTCCTGGACATTATACTCAACGAGACCACATTCTCACACGAGACTCCAGTGATCGTGCTATCAGAGTTATTATTATTGTTCATCTTATTAGACTCATTTGATTTGGTTCCTGGTATTTTGCTGTCAGCCACAACACAAGGCTCAGTCGGGCTGGAAAAATGTTCACACACGACAGGCACACAGACCATCGGTGTGCACTCCAACACTTTTGACAGAGTTCGACGTTTGTTCTTCTTTTTCAAGACCTCTGAAGCACGGCCCACTCGAGGCCTCTTCTTCCCTGGCGAGGACCCCACGCACATGCCCAAGTCCTCAAGCCCCCTCATACGTTTTTTCACTCCTTCAAACCCTTCATCCTCTGAGTTGTCCGGGACCTTTTTCAGTTTACAATCTTCCTTAATTTCGTCCAAACAAGTTTTCGGCTCCTCGAAAGAGACCCCAGATTGGGATAGTTCAGGTGCCGAGTTTGATTCGTCCCAAGAATCACTTGAATTTTTGTTGAAATCTTCTTGATTTTGTTCGTTCAAGGGTGACCGCATATTCTGATGGGGTTCACCAATTTCGGTAGGATTTTTCAAGGGGGCTAAACTTGGAAAATCTTTCCCCAGGCAGGCACTCTCAAGCTCCAAGGCGTGAAGTATAGCATGCTCTCGTCGGGCATATTTGACCGCCTTTTTAGAGAGATGGGATGTGGATGCCTTTGCCTTCTCTATGCAGTCATTGTATTCCTCACAGCGAAAGGCTTTCACACGTTTTGACTTCTCGAGGTTGTACCAATCCCTGAAAGAGTTTTTGCAGCAAACCTCAGATAAAAAACACTATCGAAGAATGTAGGACAAATTCCTCTTTTAAAATGCAAGTGGATTCTTACAAAGAAAATGGCAGTGGATTCATATACAATCCATTCAAAAATCTTGAAACAATAAATCAGTTAAACTCAACAAAGGGATATTAAATCCTACATAAAAATTGGGTCTACTACAAAAACTCAATTGTTCACAATTATGTAGCACTTGTACAATTTGAAAACTCGTGTTATCAACATCTCAATTCTTAGAGCTGAAACAATTCAATCATAAGATTCATAACGAAATGAACAAAATGGAAAATATAACTCACACGCTAGCATCCTCTCTACCAAGGAGTTTCACAGGGGTTCCTGATCTTGGTGCAGGCAAACAACCGTCCGGAAGTTCATCCGGGCCGACAATCCGGGCCGGCCACCATGACCCGTTCCTCCTCCGAACCCATACTAACCCTCCAACTGATCCATCGATGCCATTAAAGGGCTCTTCACCAGCACATCCCATTCCAAAAACACGCCCAAAAAGGATTAACAGAAATAAAAAAAGGGCTAATCAAAACCACAGGCCCAAAAGCCCTAGTTTTCTGTTCTCCCCACCGGTTTCTTTTCGAGTCTGCGTTTAGGGACACACAGAGCGCTGAAGGAAAAATTGAGACTTGCCGGCAACGGTGGGTTCATTCCTTTTCTAGCATCTATAAGCGGAAAAAATAAAAACCCATCAGGAAAAAAGAATCAAAATACGAACAAATTAAGCTGCAGAAACTTAAGATGAACCAAAATGGCACAGTAAGATCATGAAAACGAAATAATTTAAGAAAAAAGAAAACACAGAGGAGATAGGTAGCCATTGACAGATCTGGTGGAGAACAATTTCTGCAAAAAAAAAAAGCTTGCCGCTTGGAGTATTTTTCACCCCTTTTCACCGTGTGCAGGTGTGTGCTTCTCATCGGAGAAACTAAGAACCGAATTAATTCTGTCATCTCACATGTTTTTGCGGTCAAAAAAGGATCCGATCTTTTATCTTCCACGATTCAGCCCGGATTCAGCCCGGATACGAGAAATGTAGACAGGTCTGTGTGTGTGTGTGTGTGTGTGTGTGTGTGTTTGCGCGCGTGTGTGAAGTGGGTGACTGTGAGGGCGTGCTGTTGTACTTCTCTTCACAGGAAAAAGATCGATGGGCGGTGGTACCCTTTTCAGTATCTTTCTAGTTTTTTCTACCAAGAAACAGCGGAAGTAGAAAGGGAGAACTTTAAAAGAGAGAGAAACATAATTTTTGTATTTAATTATATAAATAAATTGAAGTTGGTGTGATTAAATATATAGAGAGAGAAAATTGTTAAAATGAAAAAAGAGAGATAACAAAAGAAGTAAGAATAGTTTTTGATACCCTGCACCTAATTTGTAGCCTTTGATCACAAATAAAATAAAACCAATCCAATGGCTAGAAAATAAATAAGAAATTAAACATAACTTTCAACACTCAACACAATTGGCCAATGTAGTCCGCCTTCATCGGTGCCGTTAGCACGTCGAGCTACATTCACATTACTCCGTGAACACACGCATAACACACGCTCACGAACACAACTTCAAACCCGACCACTGATTCTTTCGGTGTCGCCGCACACAACCATCAGTCCGCCGTCGCACACACAACACACACTCACACACACAGTGTTCTGAGTGAAACGGATTGTGACCGCACACGGACACCGACGAACATGAAAAGAAATTTATGTATTCGTGCGTGGCTAGAGTGGCCAATTGTGTCGAGTATTGAAAGTTATGTTTAATTTTGACTGGCCGCAGATGAGGCTTCTTGCCGAACCATGTCCGTGAGCGGCCATGGTGGTCGCAGTCGGTGATGTTGTTAGAAAAGGAATCGCCGGTTGAGGATAAACATTTTTATGTGTTGGTGACTTGTTTTGATCTGGGAGGTTTTATTTGGACTTGATTCAAGGATCTAATTTCATTTTCGTAACTTTTAATATATTTTAAGTTAGTACGTAAGGCAATTTGTGATTTAATAAAATTCCAATTGATTTAGTTGCAATTTCATATTATTTATTTTATTACAAGATAGTTTATGTTTATGGGTAAAATTTAGAATTATAAAAAAAAAAATAATAAATGCACAATACTATTCAGTACAATACACGATGTAGTGATTGTAAATGCACATTTAAGTTCAAGTGAATTACATAATGTAGAATTTTGTTCATCGTTCTGTTCTGTCGAACCGATCGACCGAAGTGTCAACACCGATACCAGCGACTCGAACTACTGAAAAAATATGAATGATCAAATTTTTTAAACGTGTATTATATGGGTGGAAAAAATATATTACCAAATAACAATATATTAAACGTGTACTCGATTGCCGTTGATATTTTAGAAAGTTGGTCAATATATACACATTATTGGTAATCGGTTAGCGTCGATATTTTAATATATTTATATATTTAATTAATAAATTATATTCATTTTTTTCGGCATAAATATCCGAATTTTCAAAAGTAAAATCAAATAATCAAACTGAAATATAAAATTTCGAACAAAAAAATTAGTTAGGTCGTTGTGCAGTCTGACCGTCGTTAAGGTGCAATCCATCTAAACATATGGTGCACGTTTTACGTCGCTATTGTGCAGTATGAATCGGTCAAACTTTTCTCAAACCATATTAAAATTGAACCGAAATATTCGATTTTTTTGGTTAAGCAAATTAACCAAAATAACTGGAATAAAATATTATTTATATTATAAAAAAATATTTATTACTTTTAATATCTAAATTTTATATTATATTTTTTAAAAAAAATGAATAATTTTTTATGTAAAAATATAAATACGACATGGAATCTAAATAATTTAATTGAAAATAATAACATATGATTGAATCTAAATAACTTAAATTTTAAAAAGTAAAAAACATAAATTGTACAAACATATAAACATTCGGACCAAAAGTTTTAGTACGTTCAGTTTTGGTAGCTATTGTGCATTCTGACAGGCATTAATGTGCAATTCGTATAACATAATTGTACTCTATTTCGGTCAATATTATGCAGTCTCTCAGCCACCCATCCTTGTTGTCGGTGCTCCGCCCTGTCGTGCTGAGACATGCGAATTCCTCGTCGGTTGATCTCATCCTCTTGATTTTGGTTTCGATTATGTACTCATCGATTTCATTTACATGTTCATCAATTTTTGTGTTCGTCGATTTTCCGGTCGTCGCCAATATTCAGGTCGGTAGAGCCGAGAATCGCCATGAATCGCTCTAGATGAAGAGAGCATATGTCGGTAGAGCCGAGAATCGCCATGAATCGCTCTAGATGAAGAGAGCGGCTGCGCCGATTGGTGTTGTCGGAAGAATCGAGATTCTTCTCGTTGTCGTTTGAAACAGCAGGAGGACTGTGAACATGACGAACGGCTCCGTCCGCACCCTCTAGACCGGGAATTGGCGCGTCTAACAAGCGGAAGTGGAGATCCTTTGAGGTGGCCTGTTGAAGCCAATGACGGATATTGTTGGCGGATGATCGCCGGACATGGACGACGCCTCAAACTTCATTGTGAAGTATGGGCCACGGCGACAAACTAACAACAACGAATGACGGTGGAACGGTTGGCAGACAACGACAATTGTGCTCTCTATGTGTGTGTTAGAGAGAGAGAGAGTATGTGAATCGTGTGAGTGTGTGCATCATTGTGTGTGAGTCATGTGCGTGCGAGGAAAAGTGTGTTTTGTGTGTGAGAGAGAGGGACTGTTGGGGTGAGGTGTTGGTAGGGCCCACATTTGAGCTTACTTGGATATGGATTTTCCAAAAACAATAATCATTTTTAATTAATAATTTTTTGACTCAAATCTAAATCAATTTTAATTCATCCTCACAGTTATCAATATTTTCAATATAATTAAATAATATCACCAAATCATTCGTACATATAACATCAACTCTAATTCATTATTTACTCATTCACATAATCTTAACTATTTAGCTATATAACTATTTTAAAAACTTTATACTAATATGTTAATCTACATGGTCAAAAATGAGATTCGCTAATTTTACAAAAGTTTCATGTATTCTACTCTGGACGGCTGCGATTGCACGATGGGTGACAATCGCGCCGAGGTTCAGTGTGACATACTGCAGCAGATTACTAAAACAGAACCAGTTGAGCCTACATTGCCCATTAGGTTTTTCATCCCTATTCGAAAATTTGATGTCTTGAGGAGTTTCAAATCAACTTTCATCTCTGCAAGATCAAATTCATCGAAAGGATTGCTGAAGCAGGCAGCCATGACAGGTCTATCCACTTTGAAATTTGAATCGTTTATTCGTCTGTTACACTATAGATTGAATCATTAGGGTTCAGCAAGATTTGTACTGTGATTTTGCAACAGCTCTGATTCTTGTAGGTTGCTTATTAATGGTGTCATTGTGTTATGCATGTGATGACGACGCAATTTTGAGTTTTGTGGTATTAGAAACGTTAAATCAACAAAGTTTGGAGTAATTTTGAGCGGATAAGTTTATAATTCGACTACCTATGCATGATCAGCTTTGTGTAAATGTCTGTTCTTTGCGAGGAATTTGCGAGGTGTTGTTGAACTCAACGTCTTATAGAACGAGTAGCACCTTTTGGCCAGGATGGATAGACGAAAGATTTTTTATTTTATAAGGAGAAATGATTAACTAACCGAAGTTTTATGCGATATAGGTGATGCATAGCTATTTGGAACTGAATTTTGTATAGGCCCTTGTATTGGATATGTTAGTTTGTAGATTATTTAGCTGTTGTGATTTGCTCATTGGGGCCTGTATTGTACTATAGGAAACCTAGCTACATGAATGTATGTATTTAATGTTTGGTTGATATTAGAGTTTTTAAGCTATATTTTTTAGGTTTCCAGCTTTGTTGTTGCTTTGAACAGACTATAAGCAGGAGCAGGACATGGAAATTGAGGCTTTAGAAGCCATTCTCATGGATGATTTTAAAGGTTTGTTTTTTCATCAACATTTCAGATAGATATCTATCTGGAGCTTCTTGATATGCATTCATCACTTTACCTAAACAGTATCATTTAATCGGTTTTAGTGGATTTATTATATACCAGAAATTCATTCTAGTGAGAGCGGCCTAAACACTTCAAACAGATGCTTCCAGATAACCCTGTATCCTCAGGTAAATACACACACGTAGTATACTCACATGTCCTGCAGCATAATGATTGACTGTGCATTTGTTTTTTAATGATGATATCCCTTGTTGGGTTGATTTTATTCTCCTTTGTCCCAAACAGGATGACGAGGCAGATGAATCTACTGTCCCACCAGGTTTTGTTACTTTGTAATCCAAGTCCTGGATTGCAGTTATTGTCAAAATCTGTGTACTGTTGCTTGATGTCGAATTTCTACGAGGAGTGATAGTTTCTTTTAATTTTTCCATTTATCCTTTTTATATTTTTCTCCAGTTCAGTTGGGATTGATATTCTCGCATACAGAAAATTATCCCGATGAACCTCCACTTATCAGTGTCAAAAGGTTGCTTCCTATCTATGTCATTTGCAGTTTCGCTGTATAGCCTTTTGTTATCCACCTTATGATTATTCATCCTTGACTTCCTATATTTTCCCGTACCAAACATTATGTTTGTTCTAAAACCTTGTTGTTTTGTTCTCAGTTTGAAAGGAGTCCCGTCCGGAGATCTTAAAGTTCTGAAAGAAAAGCTTGAAAACGAGGTAGGGAAGATCTTCAAGTCCCCTGCTATCACCCCATTAACTATGTGTGTGTGTGTGTATTAACTACTAAACATGACATTTATTCATGTAGATCTATGATGTTTGTTTTGAATGTCTTCACTCATTATGCCCTACTTATTTAAAGCATTAAGATCATAAATATGCACGGGAATTGTTCAAATTAATTACTGATACTAGACTTGGAGACTTGGAATTTTTTTTCTTTTTTTTTAACATTATTCTATTTTTAAAGATATAATTCAAGCTATTACGAATTCCTCGTATTTTTTACAGGCGGCTGAAAATCTCGGTATGGCAATGGTCTACACATTAGTAACGTCAGCTAAAGAATGGCTTTCTGAAAGATTTGCACAAGATGCTGGAGATGAGGATTCTGAGGAAGATGAGGCTGCAAAAGACGAGGTATTATTTTTTTTTCCAATTTACATGTGTTTGTAAGTGGGATGCCATGTGATTAAACCTGCCGTATGCTTATTCAGATTATCGTGCCACATGGAGAAGCTGTGACTGTTGAGACATTTCTGGTGTGGAGAGAGAGGTTTGAAGCAGAATTAGCACTTGAGAGAGCCAAGTGAGTTTTCATCAGTTTAATTAATCATTTGTTTGTCATATAATTTAAACTCGTGTTAAAACATGGCCCGAGAGAGAAATTACCACATATAGGTAGTGTTTGCAAAGACTGTAGAAAGGGAAAAAACAGAAAAGTAAATGAAAAAGAAAAACCAAGTAAAGAATCAGTTTGATATATAGCTAGATCTTCAGCTTGTTTACACGTGGAGGAACTATGTTTCCATTTCTATTCTCTTTTTTGGTGGTTTATAGTTTTCTTACACATCGATTTAGGTTAATGCCGGATTCAGCACTTGCTGCGCCAAAGGAGAAAAAACTTACTGGCAGACAGTGGTTTGAAAGTGGACGAGCTAGCTCGGTATTCTTTTTATTTTTCTTTTCCCTTTCAGCTCATAATTGTTTTCATTTATACCGATGTAACAATTTGACACCCCCAAAATCATCATAGTGCTCATCAATATGCGATCCTCGGAGTCTTGATCAATATCTGTGTCACTGGTTGCCCGTAATGACTAATAAAAATCGAATGAAACAAGGGTTATGATTTTTAATCGAATTGAATAAAAAAGAAAATAATCGAGTTTTACGCTTTTCTACAAAATATTTGTGAAGTATGTCCAAAATTAGCTTGGCTCAGGAACCTACTATTTTTTTTCATTATTCTATTCAAATTCAAACTTAAAATTAATGTTACCTACAATTTAAATGGTCATTTAGTTAGCTGTTGAATTTAAAATGTGCCCTGATTGTTGAGAATGATCCAAGTATATTAGTCAAATGTTTTATTCTTCTTGTATTTCTATTTGATGCAGAAAGGTGCAGCACATACTGCTGAGGGTTCTGATGAAGAGGACGAAGAGGATATTGATTTTGACGATGATGACTTTGACGGTATAATTATGAATTACCAACCCCGTAAATTTAGCCTATTTACCAAGATCATCAATTATCCTTTAAAATTGCAAATAAAAGTGCTCTCAGTGAAAAGGCATTTTGTAATATAGAAATATTAAGTTGCTCTATCTGTTGAGGATGCCTTCTGTTGATTTTTGCAGACGATGAAGAGGACATGCTTGAGCATTATCTGGCTGAAAAATCGGACACATCTGCACATTCTTCAAAACGAGCCAATTAAGTGAAAAAAAAAAAAACTGGCGTAATAAGCAGATATGAATTTGGATGATTAGTGCCATTAAAGCTTGATTCGAAAAGGAGTTATATTTACGAAAGTTGAGTGCACATTTAGATCATACTCATATCGAAGGCCAGCTTGCTTGAAATGGAAAAATACACCGGTACAAAGTCCATTTGCTGCCGATTAAACGAGCCTGTTGCCTTTTTTAGATTATTCAATGCAAATCTTGTTGTATCAAGAAAATTTTGTGTGTTTGTATTGATTACTGAAGGGATTATACTACTATTTTCTTCCAACTTTTCTCCTTTTGTTTGGCTCACCCTTGATATTTATAAGCCGTTTGAGAAATCACATACATTCCTTTATTTCTTAGGTAATATTTAAACAGATTTTGATCAAGGAATGAAAATATGACTAATTCTACCCAATTTTGTCAAGACCTCCTTGTTACTTTGTATACATTTCCACAAAAAATAAATCGTTTTTGGAATGAATAAAATATAAAATGGAAATTAAACTTTTCTAAATAAAACAATAACTAAGTCGTTCTTACATGTGTATTATTTTCATATTTCAGTGATATTATGAGATTTGTGATATTTTAAGATTTTCAAAATTAGTAGTGGAATTCTGAATGGATTTTGTGTATGAATTTTTCTTTTGAAATCTTAGTAAATCTTAAAAAAAAAAAAGTCTAAACAAGTAGTTTCCAATAAAGTAAATTTCTCATGATTTTTGTAAAATTTTTTAAAATCTCGAATGAATAGATCAAGACTTTTAAATATTTTAAAAATACAAATTAAATACATCGAGATTTTTTAACTCTTAAATAGTCTTTAAAAATCCCAAAGCAATATACTCGTTGGAGTTACACTTGAGTTTTCATAATCAATCAATTGATGTACATAATTTTATTTATACACTAAAACAGTTAAAAATAAATAGAGATATAAGTATGTAACTTATTGTGTTAAGTTAACTACCTAGACCAGCCAATGCTTTTTAAGTATAATTTAGTTTTACAAATAATATTATGTATTTATTAATATTAAAAAATATCTATGGTTAATATAAAAAAATGCCTACTCACTAACAAAATTCATATTATTTCCAACCTTTCATTTTATTTGGGCCTTTACGAACCATTTATTCAAGATTTGTAACTGTGAGATCGACTAATCTAACAGTGACTTGATTATCTAACTATTACAAATCACGACGAAAATGATTTCCAACGAAACCACAGCAGTTCCCTATTTTATCATCGGAGACTTGGCCAAACAAATCCCACGTAAGCACAAATCTATCTTCCGTTCATTGCTCAACAGTCGACACATTCTCTTTCCTCTCTAATTTTTTTCTACAGAGAGCGATTCTGTGGCTGGAAAAATGGAGAGTGCTGTGTTATGCGCCTCTTCACGCTTTGTTTTCTCACCATGTGAGTCTATTTCGTGCTCAATCTCAGTTTATCGTGCTTAATCGTACAAGTTCATGCTGATTTATTCCGTTGAAACACTTTTGGCTGCCATTGACAGGTTATGAAAGAGCAGGAGCTTTCCTCAGAGCTTCTCGAAGCTCGTTCGCCGGAAAATTTCCCTCCGATAACGTGCTTTCGCCGAGGATTAACGGAACTGCCCCGACAAGGCGCGCCCTCATCTCTTGTGTGGTCATATATTTCACCATCTCTTTATACTATACATTTCTTTTGATTTTATTTGATTGTTGTTTGAATCTTTTCGTGATAGAGAAAAATATTAACATATGCTGTAATTAGCTATGGGTTGTTGTTCAATTTTGGAGAAACATTTCCCAATTTCACTATGAAATGCTGTGGGTAGAAGAAGGTTTATATCTAAAAGGTTACTCACTTTCGAAGAAATGTTACTATTAGAACCGGGGGAAGAGAGTGCGGTCCCACCAGATGAAGCGCACCATAAGAGAGTGAGACTAGATGTTGGTTTTGGGATGAAATCTCACTAAGACGCATATAGGCTCACCCTTATGGTGCGCTTCACCTGGTAGGACCGCACCTCTTCCTCCGGTTCTAATAGTTACCCAATTTCACCCTCGTGGCTTAGTGTTGTTCATGTTGGATCTAAGAATTTAATTTATTCATTGTGTATATTAAAATGAATTCAGAATAAGGAGAATAAAAGAACACTTCATACTGTGTAATTGGAGATGGAACTTGAATATTGGCTTATAGAAGACCCAAAATGCTGTATGGGTATTATTTAGTCTATACTTTGGGGATTGTTCTCATATTTTACCAATATACATGAAAAACCAGGATATGAAGTTTGATATATATATTTTGAAATATTTATTTTTATTATAATCATGTTTGCAGTTTGGGAGGAAAACTAAAAAACAGACTGTAATTCCCGACCCTGATTACCGGATTCCTATTGTACTTCTTGGTGAGTAGTATTAATAATAGTTATAATAGCAACAATAAGGCATTCAAATTGCTTTGCCAGTTAATAAATAGAAGTTCCTTATACATGGTTAAAGTTTGAATTGCTTGAATTCTGCAGGAATAGCCGGTGGTTCTCTTTATGTGGATAATTTGGCAGCAGGAGTCCCAATTGGTCTTCTCGGTCTTCTTCTTTTAGTTCAGGTGAAGTCAATCTGTTAATTCTTCCGGTGGTTTTCTTACTAATGTTTTTCTTTTTCTTTCACTTACTATTTTTTTTTTCTTTCTTTTAGACAACAAGAGTTCGGTTTGTCTTCGACGCGGAGGCCCTGGTTTGTGTCAACTATGTTCAACAGAAGTCAAAACTATCTCTTTATTGTATGTGTGCTATATTAGTGTTTGATTCATACAAGCCCCCAATGATTACAGGAGGTTAAAGTTGGAGACCAACTTCAGGATTCCGGTGAAAATGTTTTTGTGGGTGGTAAAAATCGCTGGAAGTAAGTGAAGCTTTTGTAATATTAACCCAGACCATCATCGTATACAATCTCTCTCTCTCTCTCTCTCTCTCTCTCTCTCTCTCTCTCTCTCTATCTATCTCTCTCAACTGAATATACAATTCATCAGATATTCGACATTCGTAAACTGGGAACTATGGTGGCCTACTTTCCCAATCTTGGTTTACTTCAAGGAGACACAGACAAAACCTGAAGGACAAATTCACTTTTTCCCAGTAATTTTTGTAAGTTTTCTTACTACAAATCTTGATAACGTATTTTATCTGCCTGGGGAGCCAAAGCATTGATACTATGTCGATATTGTTAATTAGACGTGCTCTTTCTTGTGGCTTACAGAATGGGAAACAACTGTATGATGTCTTGGTGAAAAGATGTGGTCCTTCGAAAACTAGCGGGCCAAAATAATATTATTCGAAAATTCGAGGTGAATATGAATTGTGTATCTCACGCCGAATATATACTTAGGCATGAACCAAGGCTCCAAATGGATTTTTAAATTCAAATCCTCGGGTAACTATTATCCGGGTAATTTCATAGGATCTTTGTATTTACCAGCCAAGAAGATAGTCATTTTCATGGGCAACCAAAATCTACCAGCCAAGAGGATAGTCAATTTCATCCTAATTCTTAATCGATTATCATTTTTTGTTGTTATTATCATTATTTATTTATT